CCAGTGAGTGACTTCTTTTTTGGCTAAAGCGCCAGTTGCAACATAGTTGTTCAAGTCTTCCTCAGTAACCCGGGATTGGACCCAGTTACAAGCAGAATATGTCTTAGCCATTATCGATGAGCTAAAAGAAAGATTGTGCCGGTTCAAGATTATATGGTTAAGCCGGCTGACGAGTTAAACAGTGAATAACAGTAATGAAGCGTGCATAGGTATTAAGCCAGAGATTGACATTGAAGCTATAAAGAGGAGCTATTGTCAACTTAAGAGGGGACTAATGGTATCTGGTGGGTCACTATTTCTGTGTTAGCCCACACAATTGTTGATTTACAGATCTAAGAAAGGGAAAATTACTCAGTGTTGGAAAAACATGTTTCACAGATTGATATCATAATTTTGGATCTACGCCGCGTTAGATAATGGAAAAAAATCTAGACCTAAGTTGCAGTGCCTGAGCAGTTCATATGTCCATATCGGTTTTTTTATGCAAAAGGAGATGACCTAATAATGAAAATAAAGCGTTACGGCTACCACCGCGCAGGAGAGGTACCAAGTTCGAATAAAAAATAAGTGCTACAGCGAAGAACGAAGATGAACTTCGACGAACTCATGGAAACACTAATGGGATCTATGGGAAAATAAAGAAGGATAACTCACCAGAGCTGTTGAACAACGGAGGCGCGCGGACGAATTCTGGTCAGATCAAGTCGATGCAGCGGCCGTGGTTGATGCAGAGGCAAAGGTCGATGGCGGCGGCGGAGCTCAGGTGCTGAGACGACGCAAAGGTGGAAGACAGACGAAGATGCAAGGGGGAAAGTGAAAGGGACCCCTGGCCCTATTTATAAGACGAAAGGATAAGTGACATGCGCGGGAATCGAGGAGGTTAAAAAATGGATATGTGACGGCGCGGGCGCCTCGATTTTTGGAAGTTCATTAAAAGAGAAGCTATATTAAGATTTGAGATTTATGTAATATTAATGACAGGTGACGTCACGACGGGTTACCACGATCTTAGAAGATGACGTCACGGCGGGTTACAGGATCTCGCAAGAATAAATGAAGAAGGATTTTCCTAAGTGTTGAAGATTGACATGAACAAGTTCAAATCAACCCCGGGCCTAATGTTGGGGATATAACTATTGGGTATGACCCGCCCGGGAGGGGTCGGGTTATACCAATGACGGTTCATCAAGACAAAGCCTGTGAAGATGTTGAAGATGGTGGTTCATGAAGCAGACTTGCTAAGGGTCCAAAGCCCAAAGGCGACTTAAGGCCCATAGGTGTAAACTGCCATATATGTATGACATGGATTGTAAGGCAATTATAATTAGTAACTGAGCCGGACACATTGATGATGAGCCGGCCGAGACTCTGTGAGTCACCGGGCGTCAACCTGTGTATATAAAGGGACGACCCGGCGACGGCTTAGGACAAGAAACAAGAGAGATCGAAAGCTAGGTTAAGCGTATTCGCTCCCTGGTAATCGAAACCCAAGCAATACCACCTCAACTGGAGTAGGCTTTTACCTTCATAGCAAGGGGCCGAACCAGTATAAACTCCTGTGTCCTTTGTCCCGTTTAACCCCTTCAACCTAACCTAGTTGCGATGGCTCCATGACTAAGTCCTTCCGCTAGGATATCTGCCGTGACAATTCCACGACAGAAATGATGTAGAATTTTCTAGAAAGCATAAAGGAGTGCTTGAAAGGAGTTTTTCAAAGAAAGACCTCGGTGAAGCTACTTACATATTGGGCATCAAGATCTATAAAGATAGATCAAGACGCTTGATAAGACTTTCGATGAGTACATACCTTGATAAGATTTTGAAGGAGTTCAAAATGGATCAGTCAAAGAAGGAGTTCTTGCCTGAGTTGTAAAGTATGAAGTTGAGTAAGACTCAAAACCCGACCACGACAGAAGATAGAGAGAGAATAAAAGTCATTCCCTATGCCTCAGCCATAGGTTCTATAAAGTATGCCATGCTGTATACCAGACCTATTGTGTACCTTGCCATGAGTTTAGCAAAGGGGTACAATAGTGATCCAGGAGTAGATCACTTGACAACGATAAAAATTATCCTTATAGGACTAAGGAAATATTTCTCGATTATGGAGGTGATAAAGAGTTCATCATAAAGAGTTACGTCGATGCAAGCTCTAACACTGATCTGGATGACTCTGAGTATCAATCTGGATACATATTAAAAGTGGGAGCAATAAGCTAGAGTAGCCCCATGCAGAGCATTGTAGACATAGAAATTTGCAAAATACATACATATCTGAATGTGGCAGACCCATTGACTAAACTTCTCTCACAAGCAAAACATGATCACTCCTTAGTACTCTTTGGGTGTTAATCACATGGCGATGTGAACTAGATTATTGACTCTAGTAAACCCTTTGGGTGTTGGTCACATGGTGATGTGAACTATTAGTGTTAAATCACATGGCGATGTGAACTAGATTATTGACTCTAGTGCAAGTGGGAGACTGAAGGAAATATGCCCTAGAGGCAATAGTAAAGTTATATCATGATAAATGTTTATTATTCATGCTAGAATTGTATTAACCGGAAACTTGATACATGTGTGGATACATAGACAAAACACAGTGTCCCTAGTAAGCCTCCACTTGACTAGCTCGTTAATCAAAGATGGTTAAGTTTCCTGACCATAGACATGTGTTGTCATTTGATGAATGGGATCACATCATTAGAGAATGATGTGATGGACAAGACCCATCCGTTAGCTTAGCATTATGATCGTTTAGTTTATTGCTATTGCTTTCTTCATGACTTATACATATTTCTCTGACTATGAGATTATGCAACTCCCGAATACCGGAGGAACACTCTGTGTGCCATCAAATGTCACAACATAACTGGGTGATTATAAAGATACTCTACAGGTGTCTCCGATGGTGTTTGTTGAGTTGGCATAGATCGAGATTAGGATTTGTCACTCCGAGTATCGGAGAGGTATCTCTAGGCCCTCTCGGTAATGCACATCACCATAAGCCTTGCAAGCAATGTGACTAATGAGTTAGTTGCAGGATGATGCATTAAGAAACGAGTAAAGAGACTTGCCGGTAATGAGATTGAACTAGGTATGGAGATACCGATGATCGAATCTCAGGCAAGTAACATACCGATGACAAAGGAAATAACATATGTTGTCATAACGGTTTGACCGATAAAGATCTTTGTAGAATATGTGAGAACCAATATGAGCATCCAGGTTCCGCTATTGGTTATTGACCGGAGAGGTTTCTCGGTCATGTCTACATAGTTGTCGAACCCGTAGGGTCCGCACACTTAACGTTTGATGACGATTTGTATTTATGAGTTATGTGTTTTGGTGACCGAAGTTTGTTCGAAATCCAGGATGAGATCACGGACATGACGAGGAGTCTCGAAATGATCGAGAGGTAAAGATTGATATATTGGAAGGTAGTATTCGAACACCGGAAGGGTTCCGGAGTGTATCGGGTACATACCGGAGTACCGGAGGGGTTACGGGAACCCCCGGGGAAAGATATGGGCCATATGGGCCATATGAGCCATAGGAGGGAGGCTAACCAGCCCACAAGGGGCTGGTGTGCCCCCACAAGGGAGGAGGCCGAATTAGACTAGGGAAGGGAGCGCCATCCCCCTTTCATACTCCTACTCATCCTTCCCCTTTTCCCCCTTCGGTAGAAGGAAAAAATGGGGCGGCCGAATCTTACTAGGACTGGAGTCCTAGTAGGACTCCCCTCTCCTTGGCGCGCCCCTTGTGGCCGGCCTCTTCCCCTCCTCCTTTATATACGGGGGCAGGGGGCATCCTAAAGCATATGAATTATTCTCTTAGCTGTGTGCGGTGGCTTCTCCATAGTTTACTCCTCCGGTCATAGTGTCGTAGTGCTTAGTCGAAGTCCCGCGCGGATCACATCACCATCCCCGTCACCACGCCGTCGTGCTGACGAAACTCTCCCTTGACCCTCTGCTGGATCAAGAGTTTGAGGGACGTCATCGAGCTGAACGTGTGCTGAACTCGGAGGTGTCGTACGTTCGGTACTTGATCGGTTGGATCACGAAGACGTTCGACTGCATCAACCGCGTTAACCTAACGCTTCCGCTTTTGGTCTAGGAGGGTACATGGACACACTCTCCCGTCTCGTTGTTATGCTTCTCCTAGATAGATCTTGCGTGATCGTAGGAAATTTTTTGAATTACTACATTCCCCAACACCACCCTTACTTCAAGATCTCTGTCGACCGTCCGACAACCATGAAGACGTTCAGAGATTGCAAAATAATTGACATGAGCGAGATAACATTTTCCTAATAAAATTTCTATTACTCCCCCCGTTCGAAATTACTTGTTGTAAAAATAAAAAAAAATATACTTGTAACTAAAATACGTCTAGATACATTCATTTCTCGACAAATAATTCTGGACAAAAGACTATTTTTATATTTTGTCCCCACTTCCATAGATAGATGTAGATCTACTCGCCCAAAATCTCCCCAAGCTTCATTTCCTCCCCAAACCAAGCAGAGCCTACTTGTCTCCCTCCGCGAATCTCTCCCTCCCACGCTGATCTCAATCTGCCCGTCCCTCCACGGGCCCGCGCCGCCTCCCTCCCTCCATCCCCGCCGCATCGCCGGCGGCCTCAGCTTCGCACGCTCCGATGGTGCCGAGGTGGGTTTTCTTTCTCCTGGAAGAGCCCCCCCGCACGCTCCGCCAGGAATGCCGTGGCTTCTCCTCCTCCCAGAAGAGGCTCCCGCGCGCTCCGCCCAGCGCCGGGACGCCGTCTCCGCACACGCTTAATTACGCTATTTGCCCTCTATGTTTCTCAACCCGCGAAAACCCTAATTCCTCCTCAGTTATCTTTCCGCGCTGCTCGTGTGCACAAGCACTGGCCGCATTCGGGGTTTTTTCTTTTTTGAGTCCCGCTTGTTCCCTGTTCCTTTGCAGATTGGTCTCTTGCTAGTGCTGGCGGCTCAACCTGCAGACCGCGGCACCGCCATGGAGGCTCCGCTGACGGTGCAGATTGTCGAGTTCAACACCAAGGTGCGCCTTTCTGGGCTCCTCCATTTTCCCCGGTTCATTTTGGGTTTTCGTGCAGTGCTGTGAGGCTGTTGCTCTACATGTTTGGTGTTGGTGGATGTGCTTTGCAGGTGATGCAAGAGGAGCTGAAGAAGCTGGGGCTCAAGGTCAACCACCATGAGGCCAACATCACGTTCCTCAAGTCTGAGATCTATGCTATCGAAGAGTCGATTGCTGACCTGACAAGTAAGATTTTGTGTGTTTGCCACCCCGGCTTTATGCACTCTAGGTTACGCTGTTCTTATCTGAGAATGCAGCATGTGGATACCATCTGGCAGACCACGAAACATGTTAATTACGTTGTGGTGTGTTAGTCAACCATTAAGTTGTCGAAGTCCTTGGCACTGAAGCTCTGTCATTTATGGAACTTTATTTGCCAATATTCCTATGTGGCTCTGTTTCGAACCACGTTATCAATATCTTGTTGTTTGAAATCATTTAAAGTGAAATCGACAATGTTCAGACTTGAATGACCATCTTTGTGTGTGCTGAATCCTGAATTGGATTGTCCATGAAAAAGCTAATAAGATGATATGCAGTACTCTTACTTATAGGGCACATGTCCTGCAAAATTAATATTATTTTCAAAGGCTGAAAATGCTGTGCTAAAAGCACACGTGCAATCATACAAAAGGCTAAAGAAATATGTAATACCATGAGGGGCTCGTTGTACATCCATGCAATTTTTTGAATTTTAATTCAGTGTATTGTGTGAGATGCACTTCTTTTTTGCTATGAACAGTGCACCTCACAATCTGAATCGAGTTTGAACTTGGAATTTTGTATCCGCGCACATCAGAAGTTTGTATGAACTTATATGTGTGTATTTGGTTTGAACAACATTTGTGCACTTAGCTATCATTCACTACAACACGGCTGTTGAAAGAAGGCGTATTGGCTAGGGTGTTTCTCTAAACGCCTCAAAATTGTGCTTAAGGAGGTGTTTTGGAGAATTCGCCTTAAATCATCTCTAGCTTAAGGTGTTTTTGCAAACCTCCTCGGATTGTGTGCAACTTTGGAGGCATTTTTACAAATTGTCTCGGATTGTATGCAGCTTTGGAGGTGTTTCCTAAAAAACCTGTAACCGGTAGAGATTTTGAGGCGATTCTCAAAAACACCTGATTGATTGGGGGTTTCTCAAAAATCGTCTCCAATCGCTGTGATGTTTCCTATTGCGGGGCATGTCCATGTATATATGTATAATTTATGACAAAGGGCATGCTTTGTTACATAATCACAATATATTCGCTGGTCTAGTGGTAGTGTGCTTACAATGGTTTGCAGCTGGTCCTGTGCTCGAGTCTTGCGTGCGTCGGAATGTTGCAGGCATATTTTTTACCTGTGTGAGGTTCTGTCTTTTAGTACCATACTGCTTAGCGAACAAGAGATTGCCGTATAAAAGGAGGAAACGTGGTCGCTGATTCAGAAATCGGAGCTACTGGTTAATGGGCTTAGGGGCCAGTTGCGCGATTGAATATTTCCGCCCGGTATATATGCGCCATGATACAGACGTTGAGGCCTAGCCGGAAAATAGAAAGCTGACGTTGATTCTTTTCTCTCAGTTTGGGGTTTCGGTTGAGAAGTTTAGCAGTGCTTTAGGAAAACGCCCTAAAACGCCAGCAGATTCAAGGCGTTATTGGGGAATGCCTTGATTGACCTTCCCCTTCGCTACCATCTACATTCTACAGCATTGTAATATCAGCCGCGTTGTAGTGTCTAGGACTAGCCAATATTTCATGCTCATTTTCAAATTAGAATATGTTAGCATCATGGTCTGTGCATTGCATCGGATCGTGGATTTGTTTGAAAAAAAAAGGTGGCTGTGCTATATTAGTATCATAATGTGTAGGTAATACATGTCATTTTATACACAAAATGTTAAGAGTTGTTCAATACTTCTCTTAATTTATTATTCCTATTTAGATGCTAAACCTCAGAACCTTGTCAGTTACACTTGGAAAGGCTGCTGTAATTGCAAATAATGGTACATCAGTTGTCCTATACCTTTTCAATCTGTTGCTGAACCTGGAACTTTTATCAGTTAAACGTGGAAAGAAGGTTGTAGCTTCAAGTAATGGTACATCAGTTCAAGAAGCTGAACAGCGTACAATTGAAAGCATATGTAATCAGGACAAGACAGCAGCTTCGCTTATATGCCAGCTCAAGAAACGTCATTCCACACAAATATCAACAATGCCAATGATGAAAGATATCCTTGGTGTTGTGGCTACCTTAGGAAAAACAAATGATGATAATCTAAGCAGGTTAATTTTCACCTTGTTTTGAATTGAATTTAGCTCCTCTATTGGTGCTAATTTACTTCACATGATATGTTTGTTTGCTTACGTTTGCTGGTATCTTTTTGTTTCTGTAAATTTGTGACAGCCTACTCTCAGAGTACTTGGGAATAGACAATATGCTTGGTCTCGTTTGCAAGACTTATGATGGCATAAAGAGTCTTGAAACATATGGCACAGAAGGCAACATTGATAAGAAAAGTGGTATTCATGGACTGGGTGGCTCAATTGGAAAGATTCTGCATGGGAGGTTTACCGTGTTTTGTCTTGAAAACATAAGGTGCCATTCTAACTATTGAATGTCCTTTTTCTCTCTTGGACTCGACCATATGAGCACGTAAATACTGTGCACTATTACACTCTGCAGGCCATTTTCTGGAGAAGTTGTGATTGATGATCCACAAAGATATCTTATGCTGCGTAAACCAAGGTTGCCTAACGGGGAGTCTCCTCCTGGTTTTCTTGGTTTCGCAGTAAATATGATACTTATGGACCAGGCATACTTGAGTTGTCTCACACCCCATGGCCATGGTCTTAGGGAGACTTTGTTTTACAGTTTGTTTTCTCATTTACAAGTTTATAAGACTACAGCTGATCTACGGCGTGCTATTCCCTTCATAAATGATGGTGCGGTTTCTCTAGATGGTGGTATATTGAGGCCTAATGGTTCATTCTGCCTTGGTGATAGGTACTCAAATATGCAATTTATACCTTTACATCTAACTTTGATGATGGATGATACAGTGTTTGAGTTTTTGCCTGTTTTAGTTTTCTTTTCGTTGAGTTTTGCTTGCTTGTACTGTTGTGCCATCTTGGTACTTTCTTCTAATGCAAAATGACACGCACTTGGGTGCGTAATCGAGAAAAACATGTTTTGCAGATTGTCCTGATTACCACGTATTTTCACGCGCAGCCATTTCACGGCTTGTAAAAGCATATATTTAATAAAATCAGGATTATGTTTCACAAGCTCAATTTACCACAAGTGTTCCAGCTAAAATGAAACAATAACATTCATTCCAGTAAGAGCTATACGTTACGCAAAACTTTTAAGCATCTGCAGTCAATTTGCCTTATTATTTATTTATAATCCCTATGAAAGGAACATTGTAAGTTTTATTTATTATCGAAAGAGTAATCTACTTCTACATTTTTTATCTTTGGGATTTATGTACTCAAAGCTGTTCACTCGCACTAATAAGATACACAGTATTGATTTTTTGTATTAAAATTTATGTCATCACTTTTTTCTTGATGAATAAAGATGACCTTTGTAGGAAAGATGTTGAAGTGAAATTTACTGTAGCTTTAAGCTCTGGGGATTCAAACACACCTGGAAGTATCACTGAAATGGAAGAGCAAGTCAAACTGAAGAACTGGGAGAAGGAAAGGTTTGTTGAGGATATAAAAAGGGAGGAAGATTTGTTAAAGCAAGTTAAGGACTCATTCAGCAATCAAAAGCAACAGCTTCTGGACTATATCACTCAATCGCCAGCGTCAAAGGTGCATTCACAATATCGATCTATTCTCTCTGAAACTTCAGCTACTTAATAAGTCATAGCGGTACAATGCAATATTTTCGTATATACTACTATTAGCTTCCCTATCACGAACTGGTGGTCTTTTTCTGAGATTTGATCGATCTATTCTCTCTGAAACTTCAGCTACTTAATAAGTCATAGCTGTACAATGCAATATTTACGTATATACTATTAGCTTCCCTATGACGAATTGCTGATCTTTCCCTGAGATCTGAAATATTTAACTTTTAATTATGTAAGTTTTCTCTCTTCTGAAAATTAGATATCTGTATGGTGGCATAGCTGCTTGGTGA